TGAGTTCAAGCCCCAGGAATGACAAGAAAGCAGTTTCTCCAAGGGGAAGGCTAACTCAGGTTGATTTTGGTATAAACCTCAGTGATGAGTGCTGAGGGTTAAGAGCTGGTTGGCTCCAGGCAGCTTGGGTTATCAGAAGAGGATGACATGGACACGTCCATGACATGGACGTCTTGTTGAGCATCCTAAATGAAGTAGAGGTTTCAATAACAATCACCCTACAAGACTTCTGTGGGAAGAATTGGAGTCTGTGGCCACAGGTCATTCTCCCTAAGTATGCTGTGTGTTGATTCCATCGACCTAGGGTATTTCTGTGTATCAGTTCTGGTAAAGTGTGATGACTTACACACGTAATCTTGGCTACTTGGGAGGTGGCAGCTAGGGGATCAAGGTTCCTGGCCAGCCAGGCAGAAAGTTTGCAATACTCTGTCTCCATCCATGAACCTGGCATGGTTGCATGTTCCTATAATAGTTACATAGGATGCACTGGGTAGTAGGAACATGTCCCCAGAGACCAGCCACACTAAAAAATGCAAGCCCTGCTGGGCACTGTAACTCACATCTGTAACCCTACTCTGGAGACTGAGATATAAGAATTCTGGTTTGAAGCCAGCCCAGACTGGAAAGTCTATGAGACTCTTATATCTACCAAGCCAGCAAAAAGCCAGAAGTGGAATTATGGCTCAAGTGGTAGAGCACCAGCCTTGAAGTGATAAAGCTAAGGAACAGTGCCTAGGCCCTGAGTTCGAGTCTCAGGACTGGCAAGCCCCTATCAAAAAATTCAACTATAAAGCATAAAAAGGTTCAAGTGGTAGAGCACCTGCCTAGCAAACAAAAGACCCTGAGTCCAAAATCTGAGGAAAGGCCGGGCACCGATGGCTCATGCCTGTAATCCTAGCTACTGAGATCTGAGGATCATGGTTCAAAGCCTTTGCCCAGGCAGGAAAGTCCGTGAGACTTATCTCCAATAAAACACTAGAATACTGGAAGTGGCACTGTGGCTCAAGCGGTAGAGCGCTTGCCTTGAGCTGAAGAGTGCAAGGACAGCGCCCAAGCCCAGAGTTCAAGCCCCATGACTAACCAAAAAAAAAAAAAAAAATTCTGAGGAAAGATATTTCTGCCTGGGGTGTGGTTCAGTAAGGAGACCACTTACCTCACATACACAGGGTCCTAGATTCCATTCCCAGCACCACAAGAAAAGTTGTGAGGCATACTGGGCTTTTTAATCAGGATTTTCTTTCTCTACAGTTGAAGGATGAAAATTCTAAGCTAAGAAGAAAGCTGAATGAGGTTCAGAGCTTCTCTGAAAGCCAAACAGAAATGTATGTAAGCTTTTAGTCAGGAGTGAACTTAACTCTATCACTCAGGGAACATGGTTTCTAAGTGATATCGAAGTACCCAGCTACCCTGTAAATCTCTTAACACCAGCTACACTTCTTGTCCTCTATACGCAAGTATCTTTGAGCATTAAGACCCAAATCAGCACAACTCCAGGGAGCTGCAGCCAAGGCAGCCCCGTTTCTTCTGTTGGGATCCCAGCACAGTGGTTCAAGAGGCCCTGCTGCCTCACCTCTGCTTGAGGTTCAACCTATGGGGTTAGATTCTCAGTGTGTTTTATCCACTAACCCAAGTTAAAGTGTCTTTAAAAGTGTTCTTGAAAATGATGGCATGGCTAGGTGCTGGTGGCTCATGCCTGTAATCCTAGCTACTCAGGAGGCTGAGATCTGAGGATCACAGTTCAAAGCCAGCCCAGGCAGGAAAGTCCATGAAAGTCTGATCTCCAGTTACTTGCCAAAAAACAAGAGTGCTGTGGCTCAAGTGGTAGAGTGCTGGTCTTGAGCTGAAGAGATGAGGAACAGCGCCCAGGCCCAGAGTTCAAGCCTCACAACCAATAAAAAGAGAAATAAAGTGATTGCATGAACTCAACTCAGACCTTTCCTTTACAAGGGTGAGGACGCTTGAGCGGAAGTTGGAGGCAAAGATGATCAAGGAGGAGAGTGACTTCCATGACCTGGAGTCAGTGGTCCAGCAAGTAGAACAGAACCTTGAGCTGATGACGGTACGGAGGGCTCTGGCTCTGGGCTAGCCAGCTGGGCAGGGCACACCTCGAACGGTGCTTGTGTGCCCACTGGGCCTGTCTAGTGGACTAGCATCCCTTGGCATTGTGGGTACTCTCTACCCCAGGGTGGGTGGTTCTAAGGCCATCCGTGAACCAGGGTAGAGCCCAGGTGCTGGGGATAGATGTCCTGGAGGCTCTGCCCATAGAGGTGGAGCTAGGGAAGGCCGCATCAGGATAATAAGTCTCCTGTACTGAGAATGTGCTGTCAGTGATAACTGTGCTTATTTTTTTGGACAACAGAAACGAGCTGTAAAGGCAGAAAATCATGTCATGAAGCTAAAGCAAGAAATAAGCTTGCTCCAGGTAATCAGAGAAAAGATCTTCAATGTTTCCTTTTTAGCTGGGAATGTGGCTTGACAGTAGAGTGCTTGCCTAGCATGCATGAAGCCCTTGGTTCAGTTTCTCAGCACCATATAAACAGACAGGCTGTGGCTCAAATGGTATAGCGCTAGCCTTGAGAGAGGCTCAGGGACAGAGCCCAGGCCCTAAATTCAAGGTCCCCCCGCCCCCCCTTACCCCAGAAAAAAAAAGTTTCCTTTTCTCCTGTGAAGCCATGTATATGTGAGCTCAAGAAAAAGATGTGAGCCAGGCACTGGTGGCTCACGCCTGTCATCCCAGCAACTCAGGAGGCTGAGATCTGAGGATCGTGATTTAAAGCCAGCCCAGGCAGGAAAGTCCATGAGACTTACCTCCAATTAATCACCAGAAAACTGGAATTGGCGCTGTGGCTCAAGTGCTAGAGCACTAGCCTTTAGCACAAAAAGCTCAGGGACAGTGCCCAGACACTTGAGTTCAAGCCCCA